GCCCCCGTGGGGAGCTCACCTGAGGCCCAAGTGGTTCAGCCCGCATGCCGCCGCCACCCCGCTTTTGGCTCACCCCTCACACGCTTCGTGGCTCCATAGGAAGCTCCACCTAAGGCCACAGCGGCTGCGCCCGCATGCCCTTCCCACCCCACTTTGGTACACCCCTCACGCGCTTCGTGGCCTCATCGAGGCCACCTAAGGCTTCAGTGGTTGCGACCGCACGCCGCGGCTACCCCGCTTTGACGCGCCCTCACACGCTTCGTGACCCCATACGGGGGCTCCACCGAAGGCCCCAGTGGTTGCGCCCGCATGCCGCCGCCACCCCACTTTGGCGCACCCCTCACACTGTTCGTGGCCCCACAGGGAGCTCCACCTACGGCGCCGGTGGTTGCGCCAGCATGCAGCCGCCACTCCACTCTGGCACAACCTCCCACGTTTCGTGGCTTCAAGTTGAGTTCCACTTAGTGCCCCAGTGGTTGCGCCCGCATGCCGCCGCTACCCCGCTGAGGCGCAGCCCTGGCACGTTTCGTGGCCCCCATCGGGAACTCCACCAAAGGTGCCAGTGGTTGCGCCCGCATGCCCCCCCACCTACTTTGGCACACCCCTCACACATTTCGAGTCCCCAGAGGGAGCTCCACGTAAGGCCCCAGCGGCCCGCATGCCCTCCCCACCCCACTGGCACACCCCTCACACGTTTCGTGGCCCAGGAGGGAGCTCCACCTACGGCCCTAGCGGCTGCGTTCTGATGTCTTCTCCAATTTCTTTCGGTGCACTTCTCGCTTGTTTCGTGGCCCAACAGGGAGTTCACCTGAGGCCCCAGTGACAGCAACCGTCTGCGTGACCGCCCCCATTTCGGCACCCCTCACACGTGGCCCCACAGGAAGCTCCACCTACGGCCCCATTGGCAGTCATCGCATGTGTGACCGTGTCCACGTCGGCACTCTCCGCACACGTTCCGTGGCCCCACTGGGGGCACTGCTGAAGGCCCCAGAGGTTGCGTTCGCATGCCTTCTCCAGGCAGTTCCCGCACACCCTTCACACGGCTTGCGGCACCGTAAGGAGCTTCGCCGAAGGCCCCATCGGCAGGAATCGCATGCGTGACCGCGCCTGCTTCGGCACATCACTCGCACGCTGCGCGGCCTCCCAGGGAGCTCCACCGAGTGCCCCATCGGCGGGAATCGAAAGTGTGACCGCGCCCATGTTGGCATACCCCTCGCACGGTTCTTGGCCCCATAGGGAGCTCCGCCAAAGGCTCCGCCGCCTGCTTCTCCCCAGATCATGCCCTGCTGCTCCCCAGGGCTGGGCCGACATACCCTCAGATTAGCCGTGTCGGGTTACATCCAGATATAACCCGTTGCGGCTGACCCTTGCGACCCCATCAGCAACGCCGCTTCGTCCTTCTCACGCACGCCTCAGCCCTTTCGCTAGCCCCCTCGCTTAGTTTCTGCTTGCCTCGCGGTACTCGCAGCTGCATATGGTTGGGTCTTTCGCCAGGTTTTTTTGTTGTTGCAACCATCCTATGTGTTGGGTTCTTGTTTTGAATTCTCAGCGACGCGTCTCCTTCCTTCCTTCCTTCCTTGCTCCTTCGCCCTCCTCCTTCTGTTCTTCATCCTCCTTTCCCCTCCTCCCATCGCTGAAGCTCTTGCTGCTTTTCCTGCACTCATTTCGGCACGCCTCTCACGCAGCTCCTGCCTCCATACAGAGATCCTTTCCCCGCACCAATTTCGGCACACCCCTCATTCGTGTCGTGGCCGACAGGGAGCTCCACCCAGGGCATCAGTTGGCGTGCTCGCACGGCGTCCCCCCGACCGTTTCGGCACACACCCCACACGTGTTGTGCCCAACCTGGAGCTCCACCGATGGTCTTACCGGGCGTGCTCGCATGGCGTCCCCGCGCCCGCGTCGGCACGCCCCTCATACGCTTCGTGGCCCCACGGGGAGCTCCACCCGAGGCCCCAGCGGGCGTGCCCGCATCGCGGCCCCGCGCTCCTTTCGGCGTGCCCTTCGCACGTCTCGTGGTGGCGTCCCCGAGCCCATGTCGGCACACCCCTCCGTGCTTCTGCTTGCACTTCGTTGAGGTCGGGCTAGGTTCTTCGCCGAGCTAATTCCGGCAGGGGCCTGGGCCCTGGTCTTTCTTTGTGCCATCAGGCCTTCGGCCCTAGACCGGAGGGGTGTCGAGCAGGGGGCGTCGGGTATCGAACACGTGCTCTTTCTGCTTCACATTCTAGGGATGTCGGAGGAGTTGTTTCACGACGCTTGTCCTACACTACTAGGCACTCGCTTCGCATCTCCTCAGAACGTGGAGGTTTTTAGATCTCACGCGAGTTTACACATTCATCAATCATGAATCTCCCGCCTGAGACATCCTCACGAACAGTCGCGTTCCGACTTTGTTTGCCAAACCATGAGGTTTCTGTTGCCGGCATCCTCAGAAAAACAGGGATGTCCAGAAAGCTTGCGAATCCGATTCATCTTCAAGAACGAGGCTCTCGCTTGAGAAATCCTCGAGCATAACATGTTGATGCATGCAGCGGTGTTACGCTATTTGAAATGCGCCCCACTTGCCCCAATTACCACCTGCTTGCCCCACTTGCCCCATTTGCCCCCGCTTGCCCCCAAGTGCCGCGGGGCCGAGAGGGGCAAGTGTGCCAGGGCAAGTGGGCCTCCCGGCGGGCGGGCGGGCGGGGCAACTGGGGCAAACGGGACAGGCGGGGGCAAGAAGAGTGCATTCCAAACAGCAGCCAGCTGGGCTCCTCGTCGTGGCTGCAAGTGACAGCTTTTTTTTCATTGTTTTGCCATCGGCGCGGCCCGCCCCCTCCCCCCCCCTGGAGTAGATCTTGGCTGTTTTTGGCGCCTGTTTCGAGCAGGTGGAGCCTCCGCCATCATGGACGCACTGCTGCAGACCGTCGCACGGAGCAGAGGTCTGGAGCCAGACCTCCCTCCTGCCCACCCCCCGTCCTCCCAACGTCGAAACGCCGAACAAAAAAGCTCACTTGGGCTCCTCGTCGTGGATGCAAGGAGTGCGGGGGATCGTCCTCCTCGTCCTGCCTCCTCCTCCTCCTCCTCCTCCTCCTCCTCACTCCTCCTCCTCCTCCACCCTCCTCCTCCTCCTCCCTCCTCCTCCTCCTCCTCCTCCTCCTCCTCCTTCCTCGTCCTCCGCGTCCCTCGCCCTGCCCCGGCTCCTCGAGCCCGGGGGGCGCAGGGCGAGGCGGCGTGCCTCGAGCACGCGAGGGCGAGCGAACGGCACCTCCCCGTCCTGAGCTCAGCTTAGGAGCAGGGCGTGATGACGGTCGAGGAGGAGGAGAGGAGGAGGAGGAGGAGGAGGAGGAGGAGGAGGAGGAGGGAGGAGGAGGAGGAGGAGAGGAGGAGGAGGAGAGGAGGAGGAGGAGGAGGAGGAGGAGGAGGAGGAGGAGGAGGAGGAGGAGGAGGAGGACTGTCGTGATGATGATGACGATGATGCTGCTGCTGATGATGATGATGATGATGATGATGATGATGATGAGGATGAACATGATGATGATGATGATGCTGATGCTGCTGCTGCTGATGATGATGATGCTGATGCTGATGATGATGATGGTGGTGGTGGTGGTGGTGATGCTGATGATGATGGTGGTGGTGGTGGTGATGATGCTGATGAGGATGATGAGGATGATGCTGATGAGGATGATGAGGACGATGAGGATGATGATGATGATGATGATGATGATGATGATGATGATGATGATGATGATGATGATGATGATGATGATGATGATGATGACGATGGTGATGCTGATGCTGATGCTGCTGCTGCTGCTGCTGATGATGATGATGATGATGATGATGATGATGATGATGATGATGATGATGATGATGATCATGATCATGATAATGAGGAGAAGGAGGAGGAGGAGGAGGAGGAGGAGGAGGAGGAGGAGGAACGGTAGGAGGAAGAGGAGGAGGAGGAGCAGGATGAGGAGGAAGAGGAGGATAAGGAAGATGAGGACGAAAAGGAAGAGGAGGAGGAGGCGGAGGAGGAGGAGGAAAATGAGGAGGAACGGGAGGAGGATGAGGAGGATGAGGAGGAGGGGAGGAGGAGGAGATGAGGAGGAAGAAGAGGAGGCGGAAGAGGAGGATACGGAGGGTCAGGACGAAGAGGACGAGGAGGAGCGGAGGGAGGAGGAGGAAGAGGAGGAGGGTGAGGAGGAGGAGGAGGAGGAGGAGGAGGAGGAGGAGGAGGAGGAGGAGGAGGAAGGAGGAGGAGGGAGGAGGAGGAGGAGGAGGCGAGGAGGAGGAGAGGAGAGAGGGGGGGGAGGAGGAGGAGGAGGAGGAGGAGGAGAGGAGGAGGAGGAGGAGGAGGGGGAGGAGGAGGAGGAGGAGGAGGAGGAGGAGGAGGAGGAGGAGGAGGATGATGAGGAGGAGGAGGAGAAGGATATGCTGAGGAAGAGGAGGAGGAGGAGGAGGAGGAGGAGGAGGAGGAGGAGGAGGAGGAGGAGGAGGAGGAGGAGGAGGAGGAGGAGGAGAACAAGTCTCCAGGTAACCCTGACAGACCCCAGGCACCTTTCCCAGGAGACCCTAGGAGGCTCCAGGAGGCCGCAGGATGATAACGATCAGTGAGATGAGGTCTGATGGGGAGTTGAGGGACCGCGCAAGAGCAGGCAGTACAGCATACCACATACGTAGTAGAGCATGTACTTCTGCGACGCCATTGTGTTTTGTACATGGCATCATGTTCTTTGACTTAAGCTCGACTTTGCGGGTCCCTCAAGTTTGACAGGTAGGATTGACCGCCCAGGATTGGCCGGCTATCGGCCGGCCAGGCGGCTGAGAAGGAGCATGTGTGGCATGGGACCTCTCAGAGGCCTTCCTACCTTGCAACTCCCCCCCTCGCTACACCCATGGCGGGCGCCGCCATGCTGCGTCGGCCGGTGGGTTCGGTTGGTGGGCTCGTCTGCGTCGCAGTCGGTTGCGTTCGGTCGGCTCACTTCGCTTCGCTGCTGCGTCGTTGCCGCGGCGCTGCGTCATTCTCGGCCGCGTTTCTCGACTCGGCTTCTGTCGGCTTCGGTCTCGCTGCCAGTTCGCTCGGCCTTCAGCTGTGCCGTCGCCGTGGACGGCCTCGGAGTGCTTCTTGACTGCCCGCCCGAGTTCAGTATCGTCTAACCTATCCCATTCCCACCGAGATCGGAAACTGGAACACATACATTACCAGTGGCGGGCTGTTTTTCAATCCCAGGACTTTTTGAGGGTCGGGGACGACGCTGGGGTGGTGTGGTGTATACTTTTTTCCTCGGTGTCCCGGGGAAGCAATGAAACATGTATACACCAGGGTCCCGTATACACCAGGATCCCCTCTCCAGTGCAAATTTCAATGTAGGGCCGGAAAAAGGTGTCGGTGTATAGAGTTCGATTCCCTTCGAGATGCGCATCTAAGCCCCTCCAGCCCACCCTCCGTGGGGATAGGCCCCGCGAAGCCCGAAGGAACAGGCATACATCCCCATCCAGGGGAAGGCCACGCCAGTGGGGACGGGGATTCGCCCCTCCTCCTCCTCCTCCTCCACCTCCTCCTCCTCCTCCTCCTCCTCCTCCTCCTCCATCTCCTCCTCCTCCTCCTCCTCCTCCTCCTCCTCCTCCTCCTCCTCCTCCTCCCCCCTCCTCCTCCTCCTCCTCCTCTTCCTCCTCCTCCTCCTCCTCCTTCTCCTCAGAGGTGCCTGGAGGCAGAGTCCAACTGGCACATGGAGCAGACCACCCTCCAGAGGAGACTGGGCGAGGCCGCGAGCGAGCGACGGACGGACGTCGGGGCTCAAGAGACGGGGGCCAATGCAAACGGGGTCAGCCAGAGCGCCCGACCTTGCGGGATCCTACAGGAGGAGGAGGAGGAGGAGGAGGAGGAGGAGGAGGAGGAGGAGGAGGAGGAGGAGGAGGAGGAGGAGGAGGAGGAGGAGGAGGAGGAGGAGGAGGAGAGGAGAGGAGGAAGGAGGAGGGGGAGGAGGAGGAGGAGGAGAGGAGGAGGAGGAGGAGGAGGAGGAGGAGGAGGAGGAGGGCCTGCAGGGCCAGGGTCGCACTGACCCGCGTTGGGGTGCAGGATCCTGCAGGGCCCTGCAGGATTTTTTTCGCGCTGACCCGGGTCTTGGGCGCAGGATCCTGCAGGACCTCGCAGGACTCTGCACGTCTTGACTGCCCCCGGGTCTGGACTGACCCGGGCCCGAGGATCCCCGAGGACGGACGCCTCGGGCGGGGGACCCGCCGCGGGAGACGGGGGCCGAGCGGGGGCGCCAGGTGCGCGAGCGCACAAGGTCGCGCGGAAGGCCCTTCGTCTTGTGGTCTGCTGGCTGCCTCCACCCCGCCGGCTCGGCGCGCCTCGGGCCTCCCCCCTCCCTCCGCCTCCGCGGCCGCCCTCCGCCTCTCCTCCCGCCCTTCACTGTGCCCCGTGCCCGGCGCGGTCCGCCGGCTCTGCAGGCGCTCGGGGGCGCCAGAGAGGGGGGTGATGATTAGGGGGGGTTGGATATCGTGGCGGGGGCCATGATATTTCCCCAGATTTCATGGCGCCTCTTCTTATTTCATTACGTCCCTGGCCCCCCCGCTGGGCCGCGCACATGCCGCCGGTCATGATTTGCCCCCCCCCCCTCCTTGGACACCCCCCTCTTGGCCGCTCCCGAAGACGCGTTTGCGACCGTCAGCGCTGCCGACAAGAAAGCAAGCTTGTGGTAGAGGCCGTACCAGCTACACGTGGCCAGGGCTGAACCTAAACGTTGCTGAGCTGGATTTCGGCTGTGTTCCGTTTTTCGTTTTGGCAGGGAGGTATAGGACAACAGGTCGAGCAAAACGAACAACATAACGAAACCAAACCGAACAACAACGTTGAGGTCCAGCCCTGCACGGGGCAGCCAAGGAAGATTGTGATCGAAGGCGAAGAGGGCGGGTATCGAGGGTTTTGGGGATCCGTGCTGACTGACGCGAGCAGCGAAGAGCGAGTATTCTTAGCACGGCTGTTGAAGGCACATTTCTGGAAAGCAGTTGCTTGTTTGTTATCCCCCCATTGGTGCCCGTTGTTTTTTTTCAATCGAACTGGTTCTCGCACTTGTTTTTTTTCAAGGGAGAGTCTTGCGCCTCAGACTGGTTTGCCATCCCCCAATTTACTACAACAGCTCGGGCGATCGCGAACATGGATCAAGGGGGCGTGGCTTAGCGACGGGTCCCGTTTCCAGGGAAACTCGCGGACTTCCGCCGCCGAACGGGGTGGCACCGGCCGCACTTTGGGGAGGGCACCTCCCCCGATCCATGGATTTGGCGACCGCGCGCCAAATCCGTGGATCGCCAATGCCCCGAAACAGCGGCTCCCGCCCGACACTTCTCCCAGGCCTTCAGAAAAAACGATGCGGGGCGGGGAGGCCGCCAGCTGTGCACCGACAAGCCGCCTTGGTGTGCCGACATAAGGAGACCAAGAGGGGAGAGAGAGATACAGTGGAAACCCATGTCAAGAAACACCCTGCTTGTCCCCAGGGTGCCCTGGGTTTCTTGGATTTCGATGTTTTTGCCATGGAGAGCGTGACGTCCCCACACCAAAAATCAATGGACGTCCTGGTGTCTCAGGGTTGGGTTTTTTGTGGAAGGTTTCTTGTGGACTGGCCTCCACTGTAGAAGGGAGGGCTGAGAGGGGAGGGCCGAGATAGGGGGGATCGCGGTCCCCTTCCCCGACAACGGTCATCAGTGGGGGTGCCGGACACGCAGCCAGATATTTTATTCGGGGCGTGCCTGTGAATTGGTGTGTGTGTGTGTGTGCGTGTGTGCGTGTGTGCGTGTGTCCGTGTGTGTGTGTGTGTAAGTGTGTATGTGTGTGTGTGTGTGTGTGTGTGTATGTGTGCGTGTGCGTGTGCGTGTGCGCGTGTGTGTGTGTGTGTGTGTGTGTATGTGTGTGCGTGTGAGAGTGTATGTGTGCCTTCAAAATATCGGGGTTCGGCAGCAAATACTGGGAGCCTCGTATCTCATAATTCCGTCTTAGCGTCGATTAGCGTCGATTAGCGTTGGGGAGTCGATGAGATGTGCCGATGTAGCATCGATCTAGCGTCGATTAGCGTCGGCTAGCGTCGATTCACGCGATTTCGCAAGAGTCGCCAAGATGGTAAGGTCGGCTCCCATGAGTTGCCACCGAATGTGTGTGTGTGTGTGTGTGTTTGTGTGTGTGCGAATGTGCGCGTGTGTGCGTGTGTGCGTGTGCGTGTGCGTGTGCGTGTGCGTGTGCGTGTGTGTGTGTGTGTGTGCATGTGTGTGTGTGTGTGCGTGTGTGTGTGTGTGATCGTGAGTGCATGTGTGTGTGTGTGTGTGTGTGTCTGTTTGCGTGTGTGCGTGCGTGCGTGTGTGTGCATGTGTGCGTGCAGAGCATCGGGGGGACGGCACTCGACCAGCTCGCCGAGACCCCGGCCAGGCCCATGCCGCGCCCCGGAGATCGGCGTGCGCGCCTCCCCGGCCAGGCCGGCAGGGCCACCGCCGGGTGGGCGCACACACCGCTCCCGTGCGGGAGCTTGTCACACCGCTCCTGTTCAAGCAGTGGCGAAGCGTTCGCCTATAGGCCTACCAAACAATTTTCTAAGAGCCTTTTGTGGTCACACCGCTCCTGTTCGCCTATATAGGCCTACCAGACAGTGTTCTAAGAACCTTTTTGTGGTTTCCAGGACATGTTCTTGGAACACTTCTGGCGGAGTCTGTCTTGTTTTATCATATCGGGTTTATGTTGTAAGAACATTGCTTTTGTTATGAGAACACTTTGGGTTCTAAGAACATTTCGTGGTAGGACTATAGGAATGCCGGGACGGTCGGTCCCTGCTCAACCTGTCGGGGAAACGTTAGACTCGAGTACGCGGGAATCCAGGTTTGCCGACGCTTTTGGCAGAGCGCGTCCTGGATTCTCACGGTGCAGTTTTCGTGGGACGTCCGCAGCGGGAGCCCGCGCCGAGTCTCCGATCGGGCCGCGTCGTTGGCATGAGGGACCCCGTCCGGGCCAACCGGAGTCTCTCGCGCCCGAGTCTGTACAGCTGGCATCGGAGGGGAGGGCCGAGCCTCTCGGCCTTCTAGACGGGGTCGGAGTCGGTGGGGCCGGCGGACCGCGTCGCACCGTCGAGGCATCGACGCTGCGGCTCGATGTGGAGCCGCGGTTTTCTCCGCGCGGACGTCGCCGATGCCTCGCCGACGTCGCCGATGCATCGCCGGTGCGTCGCCGATGCGGCGCGATCCTCCGGCCGTCGATCTACTCGGAGCCCATCGAGGAGGCCTCAGAGACACCAAGCCTGCTGGGCCCAGGGCGGGCCTGGTCAGGGTCGGTGTGGGCGTGAGTGCAGCCTGCGTCCTGGCATCGGAGGGCAGGGCCGAGCCAGAGGTGGCGGGCCTGGCGCGGGCAGTCCGCAGAGGTGCCCTCCCCGCCCTCGAGCTTCGGGGTGGTGTCTGTTTGGTTTGAAGATGCCATGCCGTCTTGGGGAGACTGGGAGGCTTAATGGTGGACACGTCTGGATGCGCTGCGAGATTCTTGCCACCGCGCACCCCAGGGCTGATCTTGAGGGACAGGTTTCACACCTGGAACCCACACCCCTTCGCGTCGTGAAGCAAGCAAATCAAGACGGAAGGTCTTTACCTGCCTTTGGCCACCTGGGGCCCTTGGCGGGCCCTGGGACCGCTCTTGGGGAAGGGGTCCAGACCTCCACGGCCCAGCGTCGGGGTCTGGGGGTGCGAGAGCGGGGGGGTGTCGGAAGGGCAGGTTTCGAGAGCTGCCGCGTGCAGCCAGGTTGGGCTCTGCCGCGCACCGGGAGGCGCTGGGGACACCAGCGCATGCCCGATGTCTTATTACCCCCATGGCTAACTACTCTCCCCTTTCTGCCCCCCTGGGCCAGAGAGGAATGGGGAAAGAGGCGATTTTCTCACACGTCGGGCGCGCCTCTGCCAGAGCCCGATCGCCGTGTTCCCCCACAGGAGGCTGAGCTTCACGAAGAGCTTCAGGGACCGCTGGGCCCAGCGCAAGCTGGAGAGCGAGGAGCGCGTCTGTGGGGGGGCGCGTGTGCGCGCGGCTGTGGTCTGTCGCTGTCGGCTGTGGCAGCTCTGGACGTCATCGTCACCGCCGCTGGACTCGCAGAACATCTGGGAACAAACGATGACCTGACATAAACATGTATTTTCGGAGGTCCGCGCGGGCGCCGCCTGCTGGCGCCTCTGGCGCCGCCCCTTGCGCGCTCCGCGCGCCAGGGAGGGGGATCCAGCGCCGATCCAGGAAAGCCGCGCGGACCGTCGAAAGTTCATGTTCATGTCGTTTTGGTTTCTTCTTCGAGAGTTGTCAGGAGTTGCTTGTTGATCGGATTTCGATATTGCTCCGGGTCTGGAAAACTACTGGACGGGGCAGCTGGTTTTGCAAGATGGCGTCGCATGCGAGTTCTTCGCGTTGTATGCTCCTCCCTGATATTCCTTGCAAGCGCACGGCTGCAGTGGGCTTCCGTCCTGAGGACTCTTGATCTTTGATCTGGCTTCCCTGCCGATGACGCTTGGACGGCGGCCCGAGCCGTCGTCCCTTCAATTCTTAGCGCTTCGCGTACTCCCGCCAGCCTGCCCGCCGCCTGACCGCGGCCCCGCGCGCGCCCGCCCCCTAGTCGCGGCCGCAGCCCGACCGTGACCGCCCGCCGCTGGCGCTTCCGCCGCCAGCCCGCCCAGGAACGATGCCTGGGGGAGCTGCCCTTCTCGGGGGAGCGTGCCATCATTTGGATACCTCGGGGAGCCTCAGTGAACTCGAGGCATCCTGGACGCCTCTCGGAGTCGCTTGGGATATCTCCTGAGGTGCTCCTGGTGGCCTCTTAGGGCAGGGCGTCTTGGTAGCCTCTAGGGGCCTATTGGGTGCCTCGTGGGTGCCTCTTGGGGCCTTTTTTGGGCCCTCTTGGGAGCCTTGTAGGCCTTCCTGGGACCATCTTGGATGACACCGATCGAAGATGGGGGTGTCCTTAATTAGCGCTCCCCTCTAGAGGCCTTACACTCGCCTCTTGGGGCTCTCTTGGGGCGCTCTTGGGAACTCTTGGGACCGTCTTGGCTTTTCTTAGTGCCCTCTTGTGCCCTCTCGGAGCCATGTTGATGCCTCGGAAGGCCATCGGAAACGAACAGGCCTGAAGGTAAGAAAGCATGTATATTTTTTTGGTTGTTTGTTTTTGTTTTGTTTTTCTATTACTTGATTGATGCTGGCCTCTTGGGCGCGTTCTGGGGAGGCTCCAGAGACACTTGGGCTCGTCTTGAAGCGGTTGTGTAGCATCTAAGGGCATGCTGGGCGCTGTTGTGAGCGATCTTGCGCTATCTCGGGCATTTTCTTGGAGGGCAGCTGCCGCTCTCTGAGGCCCTCCTGGAGCCATCTTGGGCCATCTTGGCCGCTCCAACGACGCGCGGGGCGCCCCGTCCAGACTCGGGGGGTTAGGGGGTCGGGGAAGGGGTCAGGGCCCCCCCTCTGCCCGCGAGCCGTTTCGCTCACTCCCACCCGCCCCCCCCAACACAGAACGTAACGCCCGAGCCACCGCGTGGCCGCCGTGACACCCGAGCCACTGCATGCCGCCTTAGGAGCGCCACTCGTGCCGTGTGCGCCCCACGGGCTCGGGTGCGCCGGGCGCCCTGGGGGCCCGGGCGTGGCGGCGCGGGCAGCAGGGCGCGCCTCTGCCGAGCGCCGCTGCAGAGTGGTCGCTGGGCGCGCCTGCGCGTGCCCCCGGTTTGGAGGCGGCGTCTGCTTTCTGTGGCTTTTCGCAGGGATGGTCGGCCTGCGCGCCGCACGGCACGCAATGCGCCGGCATCCCCGCCGTCTCCCTTAAGAATTGGAGGTGGATAGACCTCCTGATTATCCTGACGCGTCGATTAAAGAACTGGCCGTTTTCGGTTCGCGAGAGGGCGTCGCGGCCGTCATTTTTACGGATCCAGGTCCGTCGGTTTCGGTCCCAGGCCGTTTCCACTAAGGGGAGGTTTACTGAAGGGAGGTTTGCCCACCGCCGAAAAAACCAACGCAAAGTAGTCGTCGCGGGGCGCCCGCGCATGCTCCAGATTTGGAGGCGAAGTGTATTTCTTGTATTGTTTTTTACAAGGTACGGTTTTGGTCTGCGTTGGCTGCCGGTCGCCCGGGCGGCAGATCTCCCGGACGCGAACTGATTGGCTCATTCCCAGCCTCCCTGCTAAAACAGATGCAGTACAAGAGTCTCAGCATATCCAGCGGTCGTCTTTAGATGGGCAGCTATTGGGAACCAATGCAGACACCAGGTGCGCGACGCTGGGGCGAGGTGCGCCACGCGTGCCAGGCGCGCCACGCGCACCAGGCGCGCCAGGCGTCCCTGGGGCCCAAGTGTGCCAGGAACGCTTGATGCGCCAGATGCGCCATGTGCTCCACGTGCGCCAAGTTTGCCGCGTGCTCCAGCCGCGCCCGCTGCGCCACGTTCGGGGCACGCGCAGAGTGTGCCAGGTTCGCCCGTGCACACTGGGAAGCGTGTCGACCCCCACCATCTTTGTCAAAAGCCAGTGCCAAGTCGCGGCGGAGTGGCCATCATGATGACTGGTGGGCCTGCGCACAGCAGGCGATGTGCCAGCACCCCTACGGTCCCAGCCATAAACCAATGCCCAGTGCTCGTGGCACGCCCGCGCATGATCCAGATTTTGCCGCAAAGTGCATTTTGTATTGTTTTTGTCATGGACGAAGCCTTTTGGCACATCAGGGCATATGCTGGCACCCCCGCCGTCCCCGTCAAAAACAATACAGAGTGCTCGCGCCCATCCCGAACAAAACCCAACATTCGACCGCAAAGTGGACTTTGCATTGTTTTTGACAGGGACGGCGTGGGCGGTCATTGGCCACGGCTTGTCGCTGGTCGGGTGAGGAAGGTGGTGTACATTCATAAGGAGCAGTGATCAAGCTCCAAGCGAGATCGCCGCAAACTGTCTCGCTCACTCCTACAACTCATAAGTAGTACCCGAGTCTGAGCGTAGGCAGGGGCCGCCATCGACAACCATTGGGAACCCATGCAGACGCCCGCCAGGTGCGCGAAGTCCTCGAGGTGCGCCGCACATGCCAGGTATGCCACGCGCACCATGTACGCTACATTGGACAACATGTCGACCGCCCCCACCATCTTTGTCAAAAACCAATGCAAAGTGATGGCGAGCTCGCCAGCATTGTGTATTGTATTGTGTGTGTATGTGTGTGTGTGTGTGTGTGCGTTTGCGTGTGCGTGTGCGTGTGCGTTTGCGTCAGTGTGTGTGTGTGCGTGTGCGTGTGCGTGTGTGTGTGTGTGTGTGTGTGTGTGTGTGTGTATGTGTGTGTGTGTGTGTGCGTGTGTGTGTGTGTGCGTGTGTGTGTGTGTGTGTGTGTGTGTGTGTGTGTGTGTGTGTGAGAGTGTCCGGATATGCACCCACAGTCGCTGTGCACTCGTTTCTGACAGGGATGGTTGGCTTCTGCACAGCAGGCAGTATTCCGCCCCCCATCGTCCCTGGCAAAGTGCAATTTGTATTTAATGGCCTTCGGCCCATCCCGCAACCGTGCCTGGGCTGTGGGTCTGAGGCTTCTGCAGTGGTCGTTGGGATCTCGTCGAGGCCTCTCGGGGGGCCCTCCCGGAGGCAGTCTTGAGGCCTCTTGGGGGGCTGCTTCGGGGCTTCTCGGGGCCTCTTCTGGGCCTCTTGGGGCCTCGTAGGGGCCTCTTGGCGGCCTCTTGTGGGGACCCTTAGGTCGCCGGGGGGCGATCTTTGGGGCCTCTTGGCACGTCTTGGAGCTTCGGAAAGCTGAGCAGGCGAGAAGACCAAAAAACCTTCAAAAACCTAGGGACAATGGATAATTTTTGGGGCGTCTTGGGCCATGTTGAGGCCATGTTGGGCGTATAGGGGCGATCTTTCGGTGACTCGGGGCCCTCTTAGGACATCTCGAGGGCCTCCTGGGGCCCCGTGGGCCCGTCTTGGGGTCTTCTTGGGCCCGAGTCAGTCACGCGAGAAGGCTTCCCGGAGCCCCGAGGGCACGCGCCAAGCTCAAGGAAGGTTTGGGAATTTGGCGTCTGGACCCCTACGAAAGTCCTCAGGAGTGCGGACTGAGGCTCAGGGGATTAGGCAGAGGACCTGAGGACACGCCCACTCCGTGCCCAGGGGCACGATGGCGGATTTTTTGCTGAACGGGGCCGTGGCTCTGCACTCAGCGGGCACTATGCTAGCCCTCTCGCCGTCCCTGTCAAAGACTGCTGCGAAGTAATGGCTGGGCGTCCGCGCATGCTCCAGTGTTTGGTGCAAAGTGTTCTTTGTACTGTTGTTTTGGAGGGGTGGCCGGGGGTGTTGGCATTTCACACAGCAGGCAACATGCTGGCACCCCCGCCTATCTGGTCAAAAACTCATTCAACGTGATGGCGTGGCGTCCTCGCATGATCCAGATTTTGGTGCATTTTTTTTTTTTTTTTTTTTTTTTTTTTTTTTTTTGTTTTTTTTGTTTTTTGTTTTGTTTTTTGTTTTTCAGAGACCGGTAGGGGGAAGTTGGCATTGCGCACAGCAAGCAATATGCCGGCACCCCGCCGTCCGTGTCAAAAACACATGGGAAGTGATCGCAGGGCGTCCTCGCATGATCCGGATTTTGGTGCAAGGTGCGTTTCGTCTTGTATTTTGGCAGGGATGGTGGGGGGGGGTGTTGGCATTGGCCCGGGTTTGTCGCGGGTCGGGTGGGGGAGGGCGTGCACATTCATGCGAAGCAGTGGTAAGCCCCTCCCAGAAGGGGAAGAGGGCAGTTGGAAGAAGAAACATTTTAAACCACCTGCGCCCAGAGGGCTGGTGCGATTTCCGCCCCATCGCGTTGCCACGTGACGGGCCCAGTAGAATAACAGTTGTTTCTTCTCCGTGCGCTGCTATGTGGCGAGAAGAGTAGACTTGTGTGTTGTATGCCCGCTTACCCGACGAGGGTGGCGTTTTTGGGGCCTCATGGGGGCCTCTTTGAGCGTCTTGGGGGCCTCTTCGGGGCCTCTTGGGAGCCGCCTCTTTCTCGGGGCCCTCTTGGGAGCCTAG